CCTCCGCGCCCGCCGCGGCCGCCGCGGAGGGCGCGAGCGGCACGGGCGGCAGGTCGACGTCGAGCGAGCCGCCGAGGACCGCGAGCCACGCCGAGAGCGTCGCCGGCCGCGCCGCCGCGCGCGCCGCGGCGAAGGATTGTTGCGCGGCGCGGGGCCGCCGCGGCGGCCGGCCCAGCGCCGCGGCGCAGGCCGCGGCGGCCGCCGCCGCGGCCGCGAACGCGGCGCCGCCGCCGCGCGGCGGGCCCTCGGGGTGGCCGTGCGCGGCGAAGTTCGCCCGGCTCGCGGCGTCGCCGACCAGCGCCGCGACGGCGAGCGCCGCCTCGCGCGACGGCCGCGACGCGTGCGCCCGCCGGATCGCGCGCCGGCCCGCCGCCGGCGCGACGCCGAGGATCGCGTGGGGGTCGAAGGCCCGCCGCCGCGGGCCGACGGCCGCGCGCAGCGCCAAGGCCGCGGCGACGCACCACAGCACCGCCGGCCGCGGCGACCACCAGGGTTTCGGCGCGCGGCGGTTGACCATCGATCTCACTTGTAGCCCATCGTGGGGCTGCTTGATTACGCGCCCCTCAACAACTAGTGCAAGGTTGGGGTCTCCCGCCATATATCTGCCGAGGGCCTCTGCAGGAAAAGTCTCTCCTTCGGGGAGCCCCCACCCAACAGGCTCAGAGGGCTGCTGGTTGCCCCGAGTGGCCCATCCATCAGGCCTTCTGTCCGAGACCAGGACCGGGGTTGGACGTAACGGCTTACCTAACATGTTACTTACGACTTACATTCGGCCAAAACGACTTACCTGACGGGTTACTTTCGGACTCGACGACTTACCCGGCGGCCTACCTCGGCCCGAGGCCGCGCGGGGCCCGTACTCGCGAACGGGCGGTATCTCCGGGCTCCGAACCGATGCCACGTCGGTCGTTTTGAGTCGTCTCTTCTCGTCCTCTCGGCGGATCGAAGCCCCCCCGGGGCGTGGGCGACTAGCCGCACCAAATAACACAGGAATCTCGACCACCTACGGGTCGGCGGGGCCCCGAATCGAGTACGAGGCGGATCTCGAGGCACGGAACCGGCCCTACGGCGGCAGTTTTGAGTCGAGAGGCTTCGACCGGCGGCTCTAGGAGGTTGGTTCCGTCGACGGGGCTGTCCGTGATGCCATCTAGCCATAGGTTTTTGGCACCAGAAGTGCCCGGAAAGCCGTATTCTTTGTTTCGAGGCCCGTCGAGCGGCCGTAAAATAGGCATATTTTCGGCGAATCGGGTCGGCTAAAGTGGAAGTGCCGGCCTCGAGAGTCGCAACTAATATGTTCCTTGGGATCGAGACCGGTAGATTCACCATCGAGGGGTCTATTCGGAGCAGTTTCGGGCATTTACACACCCAAACTGGGCCAAAATAGGGCCAAAATACGAAAATGTCGACTTAAAATGCGGATTTTATTCTAAATTGCGCAACTCTCTCGCGTTTGGGACGGCCTTTTGTCTAACGCGTCCATCGATACCGGGCTGACGACCGGAGGAGACCGCCTTGAGGTCCTATGCCAACATCCGACCCCTGGCGGATCCCTGCTGGAGCCAGGATGCTGGGGAATCTGGCCGGGGGTTCTGGGGATTTGGGCTAGTTGGGAGCTCCGGTAGGGGTCGGATGTTGGCATAGG